CCCGTGGCCTTGGTGTTATCAGCACCACACTCTCCTGAGTGAGCCACAGGCCAGCCCAAGACTGGAATTTTTTAAAACTCCTAAGTTTTAAAATTTTATTGTATTTGACTATCTGTATTCTCCTGTCACTCTGGGCAAACTTGTTCAAGGCACGATGATGCTCTTTGTTGACTCCATGCAGGATACTCATATATCTGATGCTATCATATATACTACTAATCCTGACTAGCAAAAAATACTGCTATATTGTATGTGTGCACTATTAAATTATAACCATAAACCCACACGTCGACAAGAAAACCCAGCTGTCACACTCGGAGTAATTCACTGTTTCCTGCTTTCTGCATTAATATTCTCATGCCACTTATTCATTTGTTTTATCTGGCTGATAGGTGGCTGACTGAATGGGAGCATGCACTAAAAGTCTAATAAAAATATATGGGAATGAAACTTAAAATTGAGAAAATTCTTTTTGTTTGTTACTATATAGTTTTCTAAATATTAGAAAGGATTGCCATTACTCTTATTTGGTGGTAATGCCTGGGTCTGGCTTGTGGAACATCAGTACTTGGGGAGGACAGAATTCTAGAATCCCTGCGCCTAAAGTGAAGATGTAGTAACAAATGCAGTGATATACATGGAGCCTAGCAGAAGGGAAACTGGGTTGTGAAAATGTCACAGTCTATTCAGAGACGTTATTATCCTGGACTTGGGTCACTGTTGTCTCGAAGGGTTGTGCATTCATTTATTCATTTGGAAAACATTTACTGACACTTGCTGTGGGTTAAGCACTGAAGATACGAAGATGAACCTGTCTTGAACATTCTGTCTCCATTTTCCTCCCACGGGCCCTTTGTCTAGCTAGCTCCCATTCATCCTTCAGGTCTCGGGTCACCTACTCCAGGAAGCCTTCCCACCCCTAGCTGTTTTAAAAAATTGTGGTAAAATATTCANTTTCCTTATAAATTACCCAGTCTCAGGCATTTCTGTTATAGCAACACAAAACGGACTAAAACACTACTCTAGCTAGGTACCTCCTATAACTGGAATCACACAGCATTTATCCTTTTATGACTGGCTTATTTCATTCAGCTTATTGTGTCAAGGTTCATCCATGTTATAGGATATGTCAGAATTTCCTTCCTTTTTAAGGCTGAATAGTATATACCATGTTTGTTTATCCATTCACCCATCAGTGGACACTAGGGACACTTTCACCTTTGGCTACTGTGAATAATGCTGCTATGAACATGGGTGTACAAGTACCTGTTTGTGTCCTTGCTTTCAGTTCTTTGGGGTACATACCCAGAAGTGGGATTGCTTGGTCATATGGTAATTTTATTTTTGGTTTTTTGAGGAAAGGGTGGTTCCATTTCCTTCACCATGATCAGGGCTGCTGCAGAGTAGGAGCAGCCCCACTCCAGGGGTGCTATTCAGATGCAGTGGATGTCTAGATGCTGTCACCAAGGGCGTTTGGTGCAGCTGCCCCACCTCGCCCAGCAAGAGAACTGGCACATAGAAGGAATTCAGCAAATATTTGCTGAATAAAGAATGTTTAGCAAGGGAGATCATCTGTAAGCAAATAACTGCTATAAGCTCAAGTGCTTTGTTAGGGTGTATAGAATGTGATGGTAGGTAAAAGGAGCAAAAACTTCTGTGGAGGTGAGATCGGGAAGACTAGGCAACATTTTTTCAATGTTTTTTTTTTTTTTTCTGAAATAATAAATTATAGATGTTTATGAAATCTCTTCAAAAATATTTTTTACTGCTTAACAAATAAATGTTTGTTTAAAAAATTTCAAGCATTATAGAAATGTGTAAAGCAGAAAATGAAAGGCTGTGCCATACAGCCCTGCAGAGTTGACCACTGGTAACAGTGCAGTGTAGACTCTTCCAAGAGGCTTTGTAAAAGGAGTTTTAAATGTGTCTTTGTGAAGGTGGGGGAATTACCAATTTAATATGTTCTGGGCATCTTGGCAGGGGCAGCTTTTTTTTTTTTTTTTTTTTTTTTAAAGATGACCGGTAAGGGGATCTTAACCCTTGACTTGGTGTTGTCAGTACCACGCTCAGCCAGTGAGCAAACCGGCCATCCCTATATAGGATCCGAACCCGTGGCCTTGGTGTTATCAGCACCGCACTTACCGAGTGAGCCACAGGCCGGCCCCAGGGGCAGCTTTTGTTTGCACAAGTGGAATTCTGTTAAGGAAAGCTGCCATTCACAGAAATGAAACTGAATCTCTTTGTTTATTATGACATTTTATAAGTTGCTGGTACTTACTTGATAATTCTTTTTAAGGTGACTCAAAATTAGCATTACTAAGAAAATAAAATTAGTATTTCTTGTTTTCTAAAGAAGTGTAAGGCCATGCAGATGTTGGTGGTTAGTGTTTCTTTAGACAGGACAAGTTAAGGAGTTCTGCCTTTGTTGTGGTGAAAAGACTCATTTTTTAAAACCCATGGTGGCAGACTGGAGGCAGGGATGGGATGGTATAAATTTTATTGTATTATAGACTGGCCAGTTGGCTCAGGTGGTTAGAGTGTAGTGCTGGCAGCACCAAGGTCCAGAGTTCAATCCCTGCTACCAGCCTATAGCCAGTACATAAATAAATAAATAAATAATTTTAAAAAAACCAAACTTTATTATATTAAAACACATGTTAAATGCCAGAAGTCTACCTCGGATAATTTCTATGTTAACTTTATGTCTGGCTTAATATGAGTCCATTTTTAAATAAACAATTGACTCCCTTTAAAATAACTGAATGTTTTCTAGAATTTCATATTACGTAGGCTATTGTAAAGTACCATCTTAGAAACTGACCCGTATAAGGTTTGATATTTGATTCGTGACTTTGGCTAGCATTGTTGGATCTCTCAGTGAGAAAAACCTAACAACTTTCTGTTAGTTGTCTGACAGATGAGGCTAGATTTTTAAAAGACCAAACTTTATTATATTAAAACACATGTTAAATGCCAGAAGTCTACCTCGGATAATTTCTATGTTAACTTTATGTCTGGCTTAATATGAGTCCATTTTTAAATAAACAATTGACTCCCTTTAAAATAACTGAATGTTTTCTAGAATTTCATATTACGTAGGCTATTGTAAAGTACCATCTTAGAAACTGACCCGTATAAGGTTTGATATTCGATTCGTGACTTTGGCTAGCATTGTTGGATCTCTCAGTGAGAAAAACCTAACAACTTTCTGTTAGTTGTCTGACAGATGAGGCTAACTCTCGTTTATGTAAATCATGGTGGCTACATAAATAAAATTCACAGATAGATCACCAAACC